CTCGTTTATCCTTACAAATAATTGCTCGTGTATTTTCCATGAATCATGTTTAATGATTGATCTCCCCGGTATCCGTGGCAGTGAGTCATATAGGAATCGCGCACTAATTTCCTCTCTGCCGCACACCTGGCAGCTCCAGCGGTAGACGGAATCCATCATATTTCTCCGTCAGCAATTTTCCAGGATTTATAAATTAAAAATAATCCGCAACACAGAATCACCCCCTCCCCCCCCACAGATCACACAACACAAGCTGCAATCGCAGAATGGCGAAATAGAACTTTACAGAGGTTCGGACTGTTAGGAATATTATCCGTAGAGAGAAGAAAGCAGACGGTACGAACACAGCTCACACATGGAGGATAATGTAGATGGCTTAAAGGAAAACTCCAGGAAGAATCATCAATGGGTAGGATAGATAGATAGATAGATAGATAGATAGATAGATAGATAGATAGATAGATAGATAGATAGATAGATAGATAGATAGACAGACAGACAGACAGACAGACAGATTTCTCCAACAGCAACACAGCCTTTCCTTTAGAAGTGTATGGGAAGGCTAGCACCCCGGTCAGATTGTTATTTCTGTCGGTGTCACTGTTGCAGATTTTCCCTCACTTCCTTTCTGGAGAAACCGTTGTCAGAGGAAAAGAAAGCGAGGAAGAATCTCTCCAGTGAACCCAGAAAACATTATTTGGGGTTCCAATATCTCAGCCTTGTTGGTAATTGCAGAGTCTGAGCCCTGTGTTCACTGTATTAGTGCTGAAATGGTGATGGCTTTGCTGGTAAACAAAGGGTTTGGATCGGAGTTAGGGTCGGAGTTAGGGTTAGAGTTGGAGTTAGGGTTCGAGTTAGGGTTGGCGTTAGGGTTGAAGTTAGGATTGGAGTTAGGTTTAGAGTTTTATTTAGGGTTAGGGTTGACGTTAGGGTTGGAGTTAGGGTTGGAGTTAGGGTTGGAGTTAGGGTTAGGGTTGGAGTTAGGGTTGGAGTTAGGGTCGGAGTTAGGGTCGGAGTTAGGGTTAGAGTTGGAGTTAGGGTCGGAGTTAAGGCTGGAGTTGGAGTTAGGGTTCGAGTTATGGTTGATGTTAGGGTTAGGGATGAAGTTAGGGTTGGAGTTAGGTTTAGGGTTGGATTTAGGGATAGGGTTGGCGTTAGGGTTAGAGTTGGAGTTAGGGTTAGGGTTGGAGTTAGGGTTGGATTTAGGGTTAGGTTTAGAGTTAGGTTGAACATTAGGGTTGGGATTAGCTTCAGACTAAGCTCCCTCCTTCTTCCTCAGTATCTAACATCACGCTGCTTTTTGGCACAAGAACATTGAAGCTCGCGGTGCCCTTTAATGGGGCAGAACCCCGGGGCCATCCTAAGAGAAATGTACCGCCTTTTAAACTCATAGTTCTGTATTTTAAAAGTTAGAATTCGGAGTTTCAGATTAAAAAATGAATACATTTAGAATTTTGATATTTAATGTCAGAATGCCCAGTTTCAAAGACAGAATTCAAAGAAAAAAACGTAGAACTCTGAGTTAAGTGAGAATTCTCTGAGATTAAAAAAATCAGAATTCCGAGTCTTAAAGTCAGACTTTCAATTTCAGAATTCTGACTTTTAATTGTAGGATTATGACTTCATCTCAGAATTACGACATTTATACGCATAGTTCTAACCGCAGGATTATTCTATTGACTTCAGTACCTCTGTTGTGAATTTTCAATGTTAATTTCTCCACAATGCCTGAGGCTACAGAGGTGAATGGGGACTGGCTATATCACGCTTTTACTGCTTGTGCAGACAATGAAAATCCTGTAATCTGTATATTCTGGGCACAGGTTCACTTTCATTTACCCTCCCCCTTCATCCTCCTCCTAATGCATGTTGCACAATTGGCGAAGTGTTCCAATTTTGTATGCAAATTTTGGGAAAGGAAAAACTCCCAATTCCCATCATGCCTAGTAAGAATGTCGAAACAAACTCCCTACAGGTAGACTTTATAGGCCAGAGGACAGATGAAGTGCATTTGGTGATGCAGAGGGAAAGATACATTGAGGGTTTGGAGTCCTGGATTGCATTTATAATTTTGTCCGGAGTGGAGTTTTCCTTTAAGCCACCAAAACTGCTCCCTATTGTTTTGGAAGGGCTGCGACTTAGAACTGATGACTTGACCTTCACAATATTTGTTACAGTAACAAGAAGATAACGATGAATATCTGAATAGTCTAGGTTTTGTATACTGCCAGGAAGAAAGCATTGCTGTCCTGTATCTTCTGCTCTCCCATTCCTGTACCTGACCTGATACTTTCTGAGGAGGTTCCCTATAATTGTGCCTTGTGTGACACTATCGCGGCCTTGCCTTCAAAGTTCAGCTTCAAGCCAGATAGCTGCTGGTCATCCTTTCGGTCTTCAGTCACACGAGTTTAGATTAGGGATGCACCAGGGGCTGACTGGCAACTTTTAGCCCAGGGGGCAAGTACAACCCAGAGGCCCATGGTGCAGACACCAATACCAGTTTTTCGGTATCAATATTTTTTCTCAGTACTGGCCGATACCGAATACCGATCCTGAAAGTCCCATTAAGGAAATGTGTAATGCCTTGCCGCCTGGCTTCCCAAAAAGCTGGGAAGCCGTCTCCATGCTCCCTCTTCACCACGTGACGAGGAAGCATGGAGCTGGTCAATCAGGAAGCCGGGGGCGGGTAATGACTCGCCGCCTGGCTTTCTGATTGGCCAGTTTCTCGACCAGCTGGGCGGCGAGTCATTACATGCTGCTGGCTTCCTGATCGGCCGGGAAGTCGGCTCCATGCTTCCTCGTCACCAGGTGATGATGAATCATGGGGACAGGTTTCTGGCCAATCAGGAAGCCGGGGGGCGGGAAATGATTAGCTGTCCGGCTTCCTGACTTGCCTGTTTCCTGACCAATCAGGAAGCTTGGAGGTGAGTCATTACACGCTGTCCGACTTCCTATAAGGCCGGGAAGCCGGCTCCATGCTCCCTTGTCACCAGGAAGTGACGAGGGAGCATGGAACCGGCTTCCCAGCCAATCAGGAAGCTTGGAGGCGAGTCATTACCCACCCCACGGCTTCCTGGTTGGCCGGGAAGCCAGCTCCATGCTCCCTGGTGACGAGGGTGCAATTCTCTTCCAACTAGCATGTGCAAGCTGAGATCGGGTATTTATTCTCAGAAGGGAAAAAATGGACCTGTGAGCGGGACTTTATATTGCAGTGACTGCGCGGAAACCAACGCTCAGATTCCTACAGCTGAACTTATCTGGGGAGAGCAGGCGGACTTTGTTTAGGATCCGCTTTGTGTCTATGAAATGGGATTTTCATGCGTTGCACGCCTCTCTCGCCTGTCCCAGATTAACGCAGGACATTTTTTTTTTCTTTTAATTTGAGGTTCTCGGTGACTGTTCTTTCCCAGCCACGTTTCTGCACCTCGGACGGACGCTTCATTTTTCTTTCCCTTGTATCTGGGGCAGAGGGTACTGAACATCTGTGCTGTAATCAAGAAGCCCGATGCTAGACGCGCATGGCTGAAAGGAGCGGGGATCTAGAGGAGTGCATACAGCAGAAGATACAAGACAGTATGTAGAGCAGGGGTAGGCGACCTCGGCACTCTGGCTGTGGTGAAACTACAAATCCCAGTATGGCTGTGCCTCATGCCTGTGGCTGTCAGAGTCTTGCAATGCCTCATGGGACTTGTAGATATAATTAGGGATGCACTGATACTGGTTTTTCGGTATCGGGTATGAGTACCGATATTTATATTTCAGTACTCGCCGATACTAAGTACCGATACCGGTACTTCTGGTAGCATGAAGCTGGCTGCATGCTATTTGGCTGGCTCAATAATGATTAGCCAGGTAGCCGGCTTTCCAGCCAATCAGCATGGAGCCGGCTTCCCAGCCAATCAGGAAGCCGGGAGGTGGGTCATTACCCGCTGCCCGGTTTCTTGATTGGCCGGGAAGTGAGCTCCATGCTGTTTGGCCAGCTCGATGCTGATAGACCAAGAAGCCGGCTTCCTAGCTAATCAGCATGGAGCCGGCTTCCCGACAAATCAGGAAGCTGTGAGGTGGGTTATTACCCACGGACCGGCTTCCTGATTGGCCATGAAGCTAGTTCCATGCTGATTAGCTGGAAAGCCGGCTTCCTGGCTGATCATTATCGAGCTGGCCAAACAGCATGGAGCCAACTTCCCATCCGATCAGGAAGCCAGGTTACAGGTATTGACTGGCTGCCCGGCTTCCTGATCGGATGGAAAGCTGGCTCCATGTTCCCTCTGACCGGAAGTTATGGTTTTTGGATAAGTATCAGAGCTTTTGGGGTCAGCACAAGTACCCAACCAAATACTCGGTATCGGCACCGATAATGATACTAATATCGATACCGGTGCATCCCTAGTTTTAAAACAGCTGGAGTGCCGAGGTTGTCCACCCCAGATATAGAATGATGTAGAAAAGTATCAATTGAATGACACTATTGACCTTTGTTGCAAACTGCAGACAGCATAACACTCTGACACAAAGTGACGGCAACTGAGGCAACATGCTACATGCATCTGGTAGATAGATGATAGATAGATAGATAGATAGATAGATAGATAGATAGATAGATAGATAGATAGATAGATAGATAGATAGATAGATAGATAGATAGAAAAAAAGATAAATAGAGAGATAAATAGAGAGATAAATAGAGAGATAAATAGAGAGATAAATAGATAGATACAATGTAAGGTACACACTTCCCAACACTTAAGGTGATAAACCAATGCCCACCAGGTGTGTACATATTTGCAACCAGACGCATGTGTGCATGCTCAAATGACATTGTTTGCAAATGGCTAGTTGTGTTCACAGCACACAGAAGCAGGACGGTGTCACAGAGAGGCTTTTGTTGCTATTACAGGCCCAAAGCTTTTGTGGAGCAGTACTTTTCCTGCCAAAAAGTGCAACCAAAACCAAAAAGCAGGTAAATGGTTATTCTGATAGCTTATCTATGACTGAAGTTTTTTTTTTTAGTTTTTTGGAGGTTGCTTGCAAAATTGAATGTTTAAAAACAGCTTTCCAGGGACCGTGTACAGGAGAGCTGAGGGCTGTGCATCGCATGAGACCTTATCTGGGATCGGCAGGGCTGATTTTAAATGGTTGTTACATTTGGTGCTGCCATGGATATTCATTGGACAAATATGGAACTATGATGGGGCCTCAAGTGAGCATACGTCAGCAGGAAGGATTTCAGATAAGGACTTAGACGTCACAGCCCTAAAGCTGAAGAAGGTCGGACAATCCAGAAGTTATGATTTCATTTTTAGTAGATGCTAACCTGAGAGTTTCCTATGTCTATTAGGGGGCGTGTCTTGTAGAGATGCCTCTGCTTGAGCACCCAGGTCTTCATGCCCTCAAGAGAGTCCTGTCCTCCCCCTACCCTGTTGGATTTATTATTTAAATAATAATAATACCAATAATAATTATTATTTAAAAACTACTACTACTACTACTAGTAGTACTAATAATAATAATAATATTATTTTAATAATATTAATCCAGTAGCATGAGTGGGAACACCCATATCTCCCAGGTGGACTGGAACAGAGTTGAGAAGAGAATTATGGTAGTAGTATACGGATGTGTCCCCTGCACTCCCTACAGCTACTGGACCTAAACAACCGTGGTGCTCACAGTGATAGTCACGGATGGCGCTGTGTGTATCAGACTTGCAAAAGATGAAGATCACCAGCACTCCAGTAGTAGCATTAAGCCTTGTGCTTTTTTTATTGAAGTGAAACATCACTGAGATGGTATAGCCAATGTTTCGGGGGCCATTCAACGTCCCTTCATCAGGGCAACATAGTGACCTGGGACCCTGCGTGGCTCCAAATTATGGCAGGGAAAGCTCAATGTTGGTATCCCAAAGGCATAGGAAACTGTCAGGTATCTCTATCAGATTCCAGCTTAACGTGAAATATAATTTTCGGGTGGAAGGAGTTGTAAAGTGTAAGTCGTTCAATAGCCTCCTTTGTAAACCATGGGATAGAGTTTGTTTCTGAGAACTGTTGAGGAGTCCTGGAACATACTGCAGCTTATATGAACTAAAACAAGAGCGGGTTGTGACCGGAGGGGTTTTTTCAAAGCTCATTTGGAAAAGTAAAAAAACAAAAACAAATGTGATGTGGAAGTAGAACTTTGTGTTTAACGTAGAAGTTTTGCATTGACAGGAAAACAAAAATGTAGAACAATTGTCTCTTTCTTGGGCTGTTTCTTCCTCTTTCTGAACGTTCTGTCTACCGGCAAATCCCAAACCCTTCACCCCCCCCCCTCAATACCAATGGACCTGGACTGTAATCTTCCCTGTCCCTCTTGCACACCTTGCCCATAATGTCCATGTATACTAATACAGATGTCCTCAAATGCCTTTCCTGAAGAAACCAATGCTATGACCTGTCTGCAGTGTTGGTCACATGACTAAATACTGTGGCGCTGGTCATGTGCTTTAATCTGATTGAGTTTAGGGAGCTGACAGCAGATCCAGCGGTGGGCCGAGTCACCAAGGGGGCCAATGCAAAACCAACTATTGACCAAGCAGAACTCCAATTCACTTGTGTATCAATGAACAGCTAGATAGAAATGAGTCATATCCAAGTCTAGGATAAAATGGAAGGAATCCCAGTACCCATCTAGTTTAAATGGGTCCCAGAGGGCCCTTGAGCTGTACATGTCCGCCCCTAATAATAATAATAATAATATAATGAAATCATTATTATTATTATTACTACTACTTCTAATAATAGCCCTAAGCAGAACTTAACTTTCAGCTGAGATCACGTGACCAATGCCTCAGTATTTGGTCATGTGACTGCCACCAGTAAATACCCTGAGGATATATTTTACCCTCTACTGGTAGGCTGGCTTATGACAGGCGGGATGGTGGGTGACATTGTAGTATAGCACCACTGAATGATTGCTACACAATCAGGATTATTGGGTGTGGGATGGAGTGGGTACTGACCTTCATATCTATGGGTGCCCACACAACCCTGGCCAACCAATTCGGCGACACAAACAAGCATGTTTGTAACAGTGGGCTGTGTTAAAAGAAAACCTTTCAACCTGTGTGCACACCCGGGTTACCCCCCGCCAGTGTCTTGCTGTACTTTGTATGGACATCTGCACAGTACTACTCTGCATTGGCTTATTGAGGTTGATTTACTCCAGGCAAGTATGCCGTTCACTTTGCAAGGGGATTTGCACATTGCAGGGGAAGTTTCCCCTCAGCTTAGTGAATGTGGTGACATTTCGCTTTACAAATACCCAATCACCAGCAACGGAAATTTTTTTTTAAATTGTATTTTTCTTGCACATGATTGGATGATGGAAGTCAGCAGAGCTTCACCTCATTCATTAAAATATTGTGTAAAAATATAATAATAATATTATAATAATATTGTGTAAAAATATAATATTTTATGAAAGACATTAAAAATACATAAAAACATATTTGCATATTGGTGCTCAGCCTAAACTTGATAAGCATAAACCTCGTATACTCATAGACAGAGATGATGACAAGTTATGATCAGTGAGTCCTTAGTTGGAATCAATGGTTACTGTTGTGGAAAATCCTCTACGCGTTTTGCCACAGCCGTGGCTTCATCAGGAAGAACATATGATGTGGATGATTGTAACCGTATATGAATATAGCAGCAGCTATTCTCCCATGGGAGTGAGCAAAACAGGACTGCAGAGGCTTCAATAGTCACGACCTTGGTTCCCCCCAGGGGTCCACAGGAGAAAACCGAGCAACGAGGACAGGACTGCAATGGAGATGATGCCTGTTGATTCAAATAGCATATCTGTTGAGGCTTTCCAAGACGAGCAGCAAATGTCATTGGGCTCTATGCTACACATTTCCATAGTGTTGCTAATCACATTTATTCTGGTTGGGTTGCCCGCCTTGTACATAGTGTCACACATTAGCCATTGCAAAATACAGCTTCCAGTTCACTTGCATTCATTGAAAATGTTCTGATCTCATATTCATTTTTCAATACTTGCCCTCGTGTTTATTCACAGATTTATTGCGTTTATGGACAACACGCGTTCCTAGGAGACCTATTGTCTTTCTAGTTATCGGTGTCATTCCAGTTTGTGTTTGTGTTCTCTACGTTATATTGTTCTCTCGGTCTGTGATTACACAGTACCACGTCTCTTGCATGGAATGCCGAATACAATTAGGGCAAACCGGCGATATGCAAAGTACATTAAAGTGACATTAAAGGATTTTTTTTTTCCCCTCCCATCAATGTTAGTGTAGGGACTTACCTTAAATGATGTCTCCTAATCCGACCTTCCTTTTCTTTCCTGATGTTTTCATCTGTCCCTCCAGCGCTGCGGCGGCTCTCCGATCCAGCGCTGACTCCTCTCTGCTTGCAGGCACTTCCGATCCAGCGGTGTCTGCATGCGGGTACACGCGTCCATAGACTTACCTTGCGTCTCTGCTGGTCTCCCGGCCGAAAATCCGAACTGCGCATGTGCCCGCCCCAAGATGCTTTGCGGGCCGCCCGAGCAGTTACGGATTCTCGGGTAGGGAGCGCGCGACGAAAACAGGGTAAGTGTAAAGCGCTGTTAAAGCGTTTTTGTTTTTGTTACTTTTTGCCTATATTGACTGCTTGCTAGCAGTAGATATAGGCAAAAAAACCGAGGGTGTAGAACTCCTTTAACTCAAACAATTGCAACCGTTTGGAACTCCTCTTTGAATATTCCGAATCTCTAGGGAAGATGAAACCGTGATGCTATAACAGACAGTATAACAAACTGCGAATGTACTCATTGTGTTATAATGTGTTTTATAAAATAGAGATGTGATGAATATCTGCTCGGTAACCGTTCTTTTGCCCATGTCGGCAATTTTGCAGGACCCAGCTGTGGTTCTATTTAAAGGGTACTTGGTAGGATGACTATCTGTCATAGCCGAGGCTGCCATCCAGTACTGCGGCCTGACATTACCCAGCTCACGGCATTGTCTTTAAGTTGCAGGGCACGGTGTATCTCTGTAGTATTATGCGCAGAACCTCTTTATGGGAGTTATGGCCGCCTCTGGTGCTGGACATGACCATGCTAACTGTGCCGATGATAGGCTCTCTCTAATGGGTTGTTTGCTGTGTTTGTGTCTGTATATGATTGGCTTATACTGTATACATAGGTGGTTTATATGGATAAGTGCACAGTGCTACTTCTTTTCCCTTCGACTTTATAATGAGTTTGCTCACATCATTATGCCCAATACTACTTGTCATTTTAATATTTTGTGAACACATTTCTAAATTTAGAGCCACGCTGCCGGTAGCCAAAATAGTTTTAAAAAACAACACTCCTTGCACAGAAAAGGGTTAAAGCTGAACTCCCGGATTATTATTATTATTATATTAAAGCGCCAACAGTTTGTGTAGCACTTTACAAAAACAAAGGGAGGCAGTACAGTTACAATGCACTGCAAGACAAGAGGGTAAGAAGGGGCCCTGCTCCTGAGCGCTTACAATCTAAAATGGAGGTGCAAGTGATACAAAAGGTAGTAACCAGGGTTGTCCTTAAAATGTGGCAGCCTGAGGCTGTTGCCCCAGGCAGCATCCCTTTGAGTCACGTGGGGAGCCAACACACCCCACCTCCCCAGAATACCCCACCCCCAGAACGCAACCGACAGCACCCCACCTCAAGTGGCGACCATGTTAAGGACGCCCATGGTAGTAGCCATGTGGGAATGAGTTGATGGAGAAGGTAGTTAGGAAGAGGTGGAATAGGCTTCCCTGAATAAAAGAGTTTTCAGAGACCTCCTGAAGGTTGACAGACAAGGAGAGGGCTGGAGAGGTTATAGTAAGGAGCTCTAGAGCATGGGAGAGAC